TTTTCTTGTTCGAGAAGCCACATCACTGGGATATACATCACAAGGCAGGAAAAATTATCATGCTGACTTCAAACGTCCCTGATCCACCAGTCAGCATTACGTACACTCACCTAAAGGATTATTAGGAACACCATACTAATACTGTGTTTGACCCCCTTTCGCCTTCAGAACTGCCTTAATTCTACGTGGCATTGATTCAACAAGGTGCTGAAAGCATTCTTTAGAAATGTTGGCCTATATTGATAGGATAGCATCTTGCAGTTGATGGAGATTTGTGGGATGCACATCCAGGGCACGAAGCTCCCGTTCCACCACATCCCAAAGATGCTCTATTGGGTTGAGATCTGGTGACTGTGGGGGCCATTTTAGTACAGTGAACTCATTGTCATGTTCAAGAAACCAATTTGAAATGATTCGAGCTTTGTGACATGGTGCATTATCCTGCTGGAAGTAGCCATCAGAGGATGGGTACATGGTGGCCATAAAGGGATGGACATGGTCAGAAACAATGCTCAGGTAGGCCGTGGCATTTAAACGATGCCCAATTGGCACTAAGGGGCCTAAAGTGTGCCAAGAAAACATCCTCCACACCATTACACCACCACCACCAGCCTGCACAGTGGTAACAAGGCATGATGGATCCATGTTCTCATTCTGTTTACGCCAAATTCTGACTCTACCATCTGAATGTCTCAACAGAAATCGAGACTCATCAGACCATGCAACATTTTTCCAGTCTTCAACTGTCCAATTTTGGTGAGCTCTTGCAAATTGTAGCCTCTTTTTCCTATTTGTAGTGGAGATGAGTGGTACCCGGTGGGGTCTTCTGCTGTTGTAGCCCATCCGCCTCAAGGTTGTGCGTGTTGTGGCTTCACAAATGCTTTGCTGCATACCTCGGTTGTAACGAGTGGTTATTTCAGTCAAAGTTGCTCTTCTATCAGCTTGAATCAGTCGGCCCATTCTCCTCTGACCTCTAGCATCAAAAAGGCATTTTCGCCCACAGGACTGCCGCATACTAGATGTTTTTCCCTTTTCACACCATTCTTTGTAAACCCTAGAAATGGTTGTGCGTGAAAATCCCAGTAACTGAGCAGATTGTGAAATACTCAGACCGGCCCGTCTGGCACCAACAACCATGCCACGCTCAAAATTGCTTAAATCAGCTTTCTTTCTAGGGATGGTAAGATTCACCGATTCGCATCGGTGCATCAGCATAAAAGCTAACGATGCGATGCATCGATTTAAATAAGTGTGCATCGATACAAGTTGGCATTTGTATCGCGATGCATCGTTTCTAACATATCTGCATCGGTAAAAAAATGATTTATTCATATATAATTACCGGTATTAGTAGATGCGTTATACTTTTACTATTTAGAAAGTGACCAATCATTTGTGACCAATATTTTATTATGTAACTGCTGCGTTCACACCGAACGCGGATAGAGCGCCTGTAGCGGGTGATGTCCATGTTAAGTCAATTTAAAGACGTGTTGACGCGGGTCTGGAGGTCCTGCGGCGCGATTTCGCCTCATTCGCGCGTCCAGTTCGACTAGATTGATTTCTCCTTTCTGAACTGTTGCTCAAGCGCGTTCTCTCATCACAACTGCTGCAGCTGCTACGGGAATATGACGTATCACATCACTACGGAGTGCAAACCGTGTCCTGAGAGTCACCTTTAAACCCTAAAGTAGGACATTTAAGTTAGTCTGGTTTACAGAAGCCTGTGACTGCAAATAAGAGTTTTTCATATATATATTTTTTTACATTTTTGAATACAGTTATGAAAGACCTGTTTGTGAAAGTTTTTTTATTTTATTTGTATTATTGTTTATGTTAAAACAGCTCCTGCTTTCTGGTCACTGTATAATATATGATTCACATACACCTGCTGGCAAGTTACAGAACATTTCTTTATTGTTTATCCCTGAGCATCCTTAGATTGTTTCACTGTTAAATGTGTGAGCTGTTAAAAATGTAACTGGAGACAGGACAGGAAAAGAATGTCTGTTTTTATTTAGCCTAATCTTTTGGTTTTGTGAAAGAGCCATGCATTAAAAGTCAGATGGCACTTAAGCTACTTTGTGATCTGCTGTATGCCTGAACAAATAAAATAAATGTTAACTATCTATATAATATTGAATTGCATAGCATCATATTTTTCTCCATTGCATCGTATTACATTGAATCGCATCGCGTTGAATCGAATCGAAATCGGATCGCACCGCATCGTAATAGTAGTGTATCGTATTGCATCGCATCGGTAGCTGCTTATATGTATCTTTAATGTATCGTATCGTTGGCTATGCATCGAGAAGTGTATCGCATCGGCCTCAGCTATGGAGATGCACATCCCTATTTCTTTCCCATTCTGACATTCAGTTTGGAGTTCAGGAGATTGTCTTGACCAGGACCACACCCCTAAATGCATTGAAGCAACTGCCATGTGATTGGTTGATTAGATAATTGCATTAATGAGAAATTGAACAGGTGTTCTTAATAATCCTTTAGGTGAGTGTATATGTGGTATTAATGATGATACATCATTTATCCAGGATTTGAAAAAAGTAACAAATATTAAAGCCATCCATTGTCACCCTGTGGAGGCTGAGAAAAAAGTGTGAAGATGAAGGAAAGATGTGGATTTGTATTCTTTCTTTGTAGTTTTCTTGGCTATGTCGAGTGCCAGGAGTTTGTAGTCGGATAGTTTGCAGATGCTGCTTGTGAGATCCTATAAAACAAAGTGATCCACAGCTGCGAAAGATAGTTTGATATCATCACCATGTTTGAATGAAGCTTACGATTAAGAACAATGATGCACCTAAGCTGTATTATACAGTTTGCCAGACATTTCTCATTTAGGAGACTTTTTTTTCTCTTTTTCTGATAAATATAGTTCTGCTATGATGTTTGAAGTCTAAGATCTTGTTGATTTAATAGTTTTGGCTCACTTTTGCACCACAAAGGTAGTGAAATTATAGAATGATCTAAACAAAGCAGCAGGAGGTTGCACTGGATACTTATTCTGTCAGAACATCACAAATCCTCTGCCGTCCTAAAACTCTTAAGTGCACAGAGGACAGGGCTTTGACATCTCAGCACTCCCCAAGAAGCATAAGCTTTCCAGGAAAGCAGAAAGCACCTGTTTCAGATGGTTCCTGTGTAACACCTCTCATGGTTTGGCCATGGAATTGGCATGGAAATCAGATGAAAACTCACAGCAGAGAAATGCAGAACCAAAGCCCAACTTCACGACAGCTCACTCACTCTGAAACACATGAACGTTCAATCTCAAGACCCTTGAGGAGTATTGTTAGAATTGCAACTTTCCAGAAAAAGAACATAATGTAACTTCACATGAAACAGAACACATTTTGGAATCCAGAGCTAGATTTCAGCTCATCCGGTGCATTCACTTTCCCAGAGAGAGGGTTGTGATTGATGGAGAATGAAATGTAAATAATCCTGTGAAGTATGACTTCATGCAGCCTCAGGAGGAAGATAGTAACTTTGAAGTTTTGCCACTGTTGGTCTCAAGACTTCAACATTTGCAATAAGTGAAGCGTGATACCTCAAAATCAGTCGCCATCAAAATCACCAATGTTCCACATCAAAAATTCAAAATACTTTTGAGGCCATAATTATTTGCTTTGCACTTTGAGTATATCCTCAATGAATTGTGTAATCCTGAACTCTTTAAAGATGCTTATAATAGACCAATTATGCACACATGCTTACCGGTATGCCTGCTCAGGACTAGCTACACAAAACGCAAAGCAAGGAGGGTCGGAATAATGCGTGTCGAAAGTTGTAATGCCACAACAGAAACTTCCCAAACCCTACCCTACAACTTGTAGTCAACAGATTGTCTAAAGGGGACCATCAAAATAAAGTGTTCCCTTTTTTAAAATGTATGTGCCCCCAATCTTTAATCAAAATAACTTCCCCTCCATCCTCCAGTGACATCTCCTCTTCTCTGATGACGTGTTTACTTATTTGAGATCGACCAATAGCAATCAACAACCATCCAATCAATTCCCCATGGACAAAATCAAGTCCCGTCCTACAAGAAGCCACATCACTGGGATATACATCACATTATGGAAGAAAAGACTATTGCAACATCCGTTTCATGCTGACATCCCTGATCCACCTGTCAGCATTAAGTATATATGTGGTATTAATGATACATCCTTTATCCAGGATTTGAAAAATGTAACAGATTTTACAGCTTTTGCGACCAATTGTAAAGACCTTTTAGCACCCGCCCATCTTTCGTGCCACCTTTTACTCCAACCTGCAGATACCCACACTTGCCCTGGGGAATTGGTGTACTGCCCCCTCTACTGGTTAAAGGAAGATACTTCACTGAGACCATTATAATTTTTTTTTTCATATTTACTAATTTAATACTTTTTTAAATTGCAAATCATATAATTAGCGTAATAGTTTAAGTGAAAGTTAACTAGGTTATTTGAATGTAAAAGTATGGACATTAATAATATAAGTGTTCATGTTTTTACATGCATAATATAAATTCTAAAACTGTTTATTTTGAGAATTTTCAATGTGGTCTCAGACTTTTGGATTTGTGCATCTGATGTCGTGGTAACATCCAAAAACAAACACAATGATATCTATAAAAAAAAAAAACATTCAGTTTATTCCCATAAATACACAATTTACATGTTCAGCACTCGATAACAGGGAGTTTTATAGAAACAATAAACAAATAAGCAAAACCAAGCTCTGGGATGGTCTATTGTTATGTACACAAAGCAGTTGCATAATACAGTTGATGGCTTTGTCCAATAGGTTTTCATTGGATAATAAGAACATGTGCCATGGAACGTTTGCTAGTATGTGGAGTAATCATCCATCAGTAATCTGAAATAAACACTTAAGAACCTTCACCGCAACTTTTGTTTTCACCTCATACTAACACCATGTGTGCCCTCCACCTCTGGACATTATAACATTAGGAAATGGTGCATGTCCTGTTCATGTCTTCTATTGCGTTTTCTTGTGGTTCTCTCTGGCAGCTTTTCTCTTTAACTGCAGAATCTTCAATTCTGTCATGGTTGAGAAGGTCCTCCATACCCACACAGCCTAAAACACAGAGACTGAGTTTAAATCAAAATCTTAAACATACTTTGTAAACATAATTAGATGAGATGCATATTGTAGTATATGAAGAAGAATATTCTTAAAGGAAAATATTACCACAATAATAACTGTGTTGAGCAAGAGCGGGACTGAGTATACTAGTGATATGAACATTCCTTTTGAATCAAAGTATTGGAACTTTGAAAAAGACCTAAAAACAAAATGCAGACACATTCAGTATAAGAACAAAATACATAACATTATGTCGGTGGGTTGTGGTGGGTGTATAATTACCTACCTCCAATTCATCGCTGCCAACTCATTCAGGTATTCTGCACTGTAAACCATTGTGACTGCAAAACATTAAATACTATGTTATCTGTTGATCACAACACAATCTAAAGTGCCTATATATATATATATATATATATATATATATATATATATATATATATATATATATATATATATATATATATATATATATATATATATATATATATGTATGTGTGTGTTATGCCTGTATGCACATAAACACATGTCGATTTGACAGCACTTATGCTGCACTTATATATATGGTGAGATAAACATATAATCATATATAATTTAATATAATTAAATAAATATAAATCAAATTATGTTAAGGGTGCTTTCCCAATCTAACCGCACAAAATTCACAAAACGCATATAGTCTGAGCTGTTTGTCGTCTTGTAATTTTCGGAAATTAAATTTTTTGTTTCACTATAATTGTATACATTTACCCTTACCTTTAACAATTTAATTATTGCAGAAACTCACCCATCAAGAGAAAATGACAGATCTGAAGGCGGTAGTATTTGCAGGATAGGATGGTGAAAGCAAAACAGAAGACATGGAATGCCAGCAGACAAATCAGCCAGGATTCAGTCCAGTCAACCTGGAAACAAGTTTACATGATGATTACTATTACTAGTTCTTCTAGTAATAAATCGTTTTCTTTATTTAATTCGGACCACGTGACCTCGGATGTACTGAAAAATAGCGACAAAACAAAAACTCTTGATTATCTTTATGTCTAAGAGAATCAAATGTTGCTGTAAACTTACAGACTGTAGAAAGCTCCATAATGATGTGACCCGAACATTGCTGAATCCATCGATTGGAATGGCGCTAATATTTTTAGCTTTGGACTCGGTCATTTTGTTTGACTACACGCAACTAAACCACACACAACATGAACACTTCCGCATTCGTCACTTTCTTTCTCTCGCGAAAATACCCGAAGCTCACCAATGGATGGCGCTATTACGCTTCTTAAACATGTAGTTGATGCTAAGAGCAGTTTATTCCCAAAAAGGAACATGAAATATTTAATATTTATTTTCAAATACGGTTTTCTACATTTTTATATCGAAATAAAATAGAATGCCTTTAAATTCCCGCATCGATTTAAAATGAACAAAAATAAGATATGTAGAACGGATATGTCAAAATAAAAGTTCTCTGCAAACCTTTATTTTGCAGACAGCTGGGCGACATGGCAAACCTTCTTACAAATATAACAATAAAATAAGATATCAAACGGTGAGAATGTATATGATTATCACATGTATAAAAAAAAACAGCAGATGTTACAATTTAATGTCAAAGAGAACTATAGATCGTTCTGACATGTGGTTCTTCTCACTGATGCTGTGTGCATGATGATGATCCCGATTATGATTCAGTTTTTATTACGTTTTTAATAATATTAGGCGAACATATCCTTACATCTGGATGGTTCAACTGTTTATTGGTCATTGCAAATACCAACTAAACTGTTCATAAACTATTTTATTATTAATAATAATATTATTTATATGATATTTACTATTATAGATTAATTATAATTTATGCCTGCATTTAGAATAGAAGAAATAAAGTTTGGTTCAGGTTTCGGTGTTTTTTGTTGTTGTTGTTTTTTTGGTTCAGGTTTGTCGCATTCCAGCCAGTGATGACGCGCTTCCTGTGACGCAGAGAGATTTTAAAACATTGTCCTTCTCAGTAATGGCGGCTACGTTCCCTTCGCCTTCGCTAAATAACAATAAATGGTACTTCACGCGCGAACAAATCGAAAACAGCCCATCTCGCCGAGCGGGACTTGATCCCGACAAAGAGCTCTCGTACCGACAGCAAGCTGCTAACCTGCTGCAGGACATGGGACAGCGGCTCAACGTGTATCTTTTTCAGTTTGTAAGGCGTCGTTCTCGGCATCTGCTGACGCCGGTTTGGGCGGCTTGTGTGGCGTTGAGTTTCAACGTTGTAATGACCTGAAACAGGTCTACCAGTAAACACGCCTTTTGTATTGTGAAACGTGTGAATTAAGGCGAATGGAATAAACGATTTATGTCCCAGTTTTGTGTTTTTTGGGGGTTAGTTTAGGCCTCGGGGCCTAGCTTGAGGTGTCTTTCCTACTGAACAATAGCGCAGCCGGTGTCATTGCTTTTCCCACTCTCCGGTTTCCACTATTTTCTTAATTATACCATTTGTTTACACTCCAGTTATAGACTTATATGTTGTTTATGCCATTCCAAAATTCGTCTGTTAGTATTGCAATTCAACATATCCTGTCGGGGAGAGATTTGCCCTGTCTGATACAGTAACAGGACATATAAGTTAGTAATTGGGGAGAGATTATGAGTTGTCCCGATTTGTTTTTTAGGTTAATTATGTGCCTTCAATTAATGGAGAGCAGTTAAATTCGGTTTTTCCATTTTCAGGAGTGGATGCTTCCACTCTCTACATTTGAATATGGTCAAATATTAATGACAGTTGCTCTAATTAATTAAAATACAAGAATTGAATGTGAATGACAAGCCCATACCACTTTGGGGCGGACGTGTCATTCTAAATATCTATGGTGGTTATGACCCTGTTGAAATACTGAGTTTGTTGATTTGAACCATAATGTTGATTTGAACAGTAAGGCTGTTTTGACATTAAACTGAAGTTGCAGTAGTCCTGTCCAAACGGCTTCTCGAACAAGAAAAAATGTAGATTGGTACTTGATTGGATGGTTGTGGTTTGGTATTGCTGTGATATCATGTGACTGACAGGTTGCCCCGCCTTCGGGCCAATAAAAACATCATCAGAGAAGAGATGTCGCTATAAAAGGGAGGGGAAGCTATTTTGATGAAACATTACAAGGGTAGGGTACATTAATTTACAAAAAAATGTGCACAGATAAATAAATTACAATAAATGCCATGTTCCATAATGAGATAATAATTTTTAATTTTGATTTCATGGTGACTTTAAATGCTTGTAATGTCAATGCCATCCTTAACTTTGGACGATCAGGTCACAACTTACAATTAACACTGCCATTGTGTATATGCATCGGTTCTACATGATCCAGTCCTTCACCCGCTTCCACCGAAATGTGTGTGCCTTATCCTTCGACAAGCTTTTTGCTAAACGTTCATATGAAACAGCTGGCTGGATTGGACAGGAATCTAACCTCTTTGTTAATGTCATGTGTTGCACAGGTGATTGCTCCTGCAGCTCTCTTTTTAGCTGCGAAGGTGGAAGAACAGCCTCGCAAGCTGGAGCATGTGATTAAGGTGACCCATGCGTGTCTCAATCCTCAGGACCCGTCTCCAGACACCAGGAGTGATGTAAGTAATGATAGAATTTATGTCCGATTTCTTTTAACTGTCTGTGATTCATTGGTTCAATGTACTTTCTGTGTTTAAATGTAACTTATTAGCGAATAAGTTCTTTTGCAGCAACGTTTTTTTTAAAGGAATCGTTCACCCAAGATGAAAATGATGGAATTTTCCCTTTTTTGAGTGAAATACTTAAAAAAATAAAAAAAAATTCCAGAGTCCTTGATGAATGGTGGATTTTCAGGTTGTTTTTTTTTTTTTTTTTTTTAGCCATCTTTCCTGTAAGATTAACTGTTTTTCCCCCTAACTATTTAGCTTGACAAAATTTCTTTACCAGCTTTTTAACTCGTATCAGATCAATGATCGTTTTTATCAAATAGGGCTGGGTTAAAAATATAGATTTCTCGATTATAAGTGATTCTCGTTTTGATTTACTGATGTTCTTCTTAAATCCCAAGAATCGATCTTTTAACAGTTGATGAATAAACAAAACTTTGTAGCGTGCCTCCCATCCAATAAATCACAATAAGCTTTGTGCTTTGATATGAAACAGAGTCTCAGCTTTCAAATTATGTCAATTTAATTATGAAATTCAAACAATAAATATGTTTTGCTGGCCACTCATGAATGTAGTGTGACAGATCGCTACAGTGCAGCTCAGTTCAACGGACCATTTCTTCCACATTACGTTAAAGCAAATAATCATGCATGAACATCAGAAGGTATGCCTGTAAGATACAGTACAGCTTACCAAAATCCACTTCATGTCTCATGTAATCGCTTAATCAGTGTTTCAACAGCGGAAATACGTCAGTAAAACAGCTTGTAAGCAATATGTCATGTAATGTTACATTTACCTCAGAAAAAACATTCAATGTCTATTAATTCATTAGTCTTCTAGAAAAATGTACTCCAGAGAGCAGCATTTTGCTAAATATATGCATTATATTGCATATTCATTGTATTTTTACTTAACCTGTTCAATATGTACAGGATATTTGAATATCCGTTATGTTTTGTTAATGGATATTTGAATCCGTTATGTTTTTATGACAGTCACCATTTACATGTTTATATTTAAAAAAAATGAGTAAAAACAATTGTCATTAAAAAGTTATTATTATAACACTATTACTATAAAACTTCCTTTTGTGTAATGTAAATTTAAGTAGCTTATACAAATTGTAACTTTTAATATTATAGTAATATACTTTATCGATATCGAATTGCAAGCTTGTGAATCGAAACGAATCGTGAAATTTGTGTTAATAATACCCAGCCCTAGTATCAAATGTCAAATTTAATGGCAGAACCACAGCATCAGACATAACATTGCTTTTCTTTTGAACAGGTTGTGCAAGCCACAGTTTTCTTATTTCTATATTTTCATTTTGAATCAAAATGAACTCAATTTTTTTTTTCTCTTAGGTTGGATATGTATAATCTTCTTTCTTCAGTCTTTATCTGTTGTGTTAGTATTATTCATATGCCTCTCACTGTCATATGTTGATGAATTGAAGGGGCATAGCTTGTATAATAAGGTGCTGATTGGCTTGGTGCAAAAAAAGGGTCATCTTAATTTGACGAGAGCGAGTAAACGTGTAGTCCATGACCAAGAGAACATGTGAGTAACCTGCCTGTCCTCTCAATCTCAGACATACCTGCAACAAGCCCAAGACCTGGTCATTCTTGAGAGCATTATACTCCAGACCCTGGGTAAGTTTGGAAGGGCAAGAATGGGTCAGTGAATCACCATACTAGAGAGATGTACCAAATAACCACATTTATTCTCATTCACTGCTAATTTCCAGGAGTCAACAGGACTATCACAATCTCTTAATTAAGAGTCATTACTACTCTCACCTTTTTCATTTCTATTTCCATGTCAGTCTGGCAATGCACCCTTCCTGTGTGTGGTTTACGATGCTATCGATTTTGTATGCTGATCCTATTTTAATCTTGAGGACAGTAGGGATGTCAAAAGTACTGGTACTAAGTAAAAAAAACATTGTAAGTGTACCAATCTTTTTGCAGTACCAACCTCAATCCTCTTGAATGCTGGATTTTTTTTAGTAAAAGAATTTGTGCAATAGCATATTCATTTTATAGCATATTAAATCAGGAAATTTCACTGGTAATGGTTTCAACTACTGACATTTGTTTATCGTGATAACCCTGGTGTAAACCGTCGTCTGTGTCCTGCTTTGCAGTCCTCCGCTTTGGACAATTTTGTTCTTGTGCCCATAATGGCAATTTGTTTTGAAAACTTTGACTATAACCAAATCGCCCCACAGGCCACTTGCAAGGAGCTTGGCTCAAAGATATCTCACCAGTCAAGCACAGGAAGCCCCATGTTTGTGATTCACTCACTCATCATGTATATTGTGTGTGGGGGACACAAAAAAAGCACTTCACTGCAGTACAAATGAAAAACTAAAAGTCTGTCTCTCTCTCATCTCCTCTCTTCCCTTCAGCTTTTGAGATCACCATTGATCATCCTCATACACATGTTGTCAAGTGTACACAGCTTGTGCGAGGTGAGAACCAGCTGCTCACTGTAAACTGTCCTTCGTATTGCTCGGTAATGAGTACTTCTAGCCCACCAAGCTCACAGATTTCACATCTGATCACGAGCTTTCCTTTTGTTCCAGCGAGTAAGGATTTGGCTCAAACCTCATATTTCATGGCAACAAACAGGTATGTTCAGATAGCATTACTTATGTAGAAGATACCTTACTTGTGTAGAAGTTTTCTCTGTGTACACTACCAGAACTATGTGAGGTTACAGTTACATCAATCTTTAATCCAAGTATGATGAATGAATCTGGAAATAATGTCAACTTGAGTTTTTATTTGATTTATTTATTTGAAATACAAATAATTTGTAACATTATATACATGGCACTTGATTACAAATGTATTAATTAATTCTTTAAAAAAAATTCTTACTGACCCCAAACTTTTGATTGGTAGTTTATGTATGTATTACTGTAGTTCAACAATAGCAATAAATGGTTTCTAACAAATATTTGTTTCTTCTCCTGTGTTTTTGGTATCTCTGGGTGATCTCATTGCTGCAGTCTCCACTTGACTACATTCTGCCTACAGTACAGTCCGCCCATTGTAGCTTGTGTTTGTATTCATTTGGCCTGTAAATGGTCCAACTGGGAGATTCCGGTTTCCACAGACGGCAAACACTGGTGGGAGTATGTTGACCCCACAGTGACCCTTGAGCTGTTGGATGGTATGTAAATGTTGCTGTTCTGTGTCTTTTCAAGTGATTTTCTTTTGAAATGGTTGTCTTTTTAATAGAGAGAAAGTTTAATTCTAAAGATCTGGAAAGTATGTGATTTACTTCTCTGTTCAGTGTTTCATTAATTAATGCATTGTGGTTTATTTAGTTCAGTTTACATTTAAAGACAGTTTTACTAAGATTTTTAGGAAGTAACCATTGGAAGAACTTCAGTGTAACATTGGACAAAATTTTGGGGGTTTAGCCGGGACAAGAAACTATATAGCCATTTAAAGAATTTCTCAAATAATGTGTGATTTTTGCCCTAAAGATTTTTGATAATGATTTCACAGAGCTCACTCATGAGTTCCTGCAGATCTTGGAGAAGACGCCCAGCCGCTTAAAACGCATAAGAAACTGGAAAGTAAGTCAGTTTGCCTCCATTTTAATTATATCTGGATAACAGCAAATAATGTGTGCCTACAAAGTACAGTAGTCAACATTTGAAGTGGATCAAAACCTTTCATCAAAGTTATACATTGATTTTGAACAATACCCGTTCTTGTCTTAGGACAACTTTGATCCACTTCAAATGTTGACTACTGTACTTTGGGCACTTAAAATACTGTTGAAATATTAAATATCTATAGTAACCAAGTGGCTGTTTTTTTACACACTGCCATTCAGAATTTTTGGGGTTTTCATTAAGTTTTTTAATGTTAATGTCTCCTATGCTCACCAAGGCAGCATTTATTTGATCAAACATACAGTAAAAATATTACATTTTAAAATTGTTTTTCTGTTAATATATATTTTAAAATGTAATCTTTTCCTGTGATGCAAAGGTGTATTTTCAGCACCATTACTCTAGTTTTCAGCGTCACATGATTTGGTGACCACATTTGTTTTTCCAAGATTCTTTAATGAATAGAAAGTTAAAAAAAACAGCATTTATTTGAAATAGAAATCTTTTGTAATGTTAATTTATGTAAATGTCAAATTCACTGATCGATTTAATGCATCCTTGCAGAATGAAAGTATTAATTTCTAAAAAAAAAAAAAAAAAAATCTTACTAACCCCAAACGTTTGAATGGTACTGTGTTCTGACCATCCAAATTGCATCCTCATAATCTTTTTTCTTTTCTTTTTACTTGTGCTTTAGGCTGCAGGTCAAACTGCCAAGAAATCAAAGGTGCAAGATGGTGATCAGTCAGAAGCCATTATGAACATGATCTCCATGGCATCTTCTGACACCACGTTGGCGGGACTGATGAGCCTCTCCGCTCCTCCCTCCGGTTCTTCCATGGACTCCTCAGCAGATGATCCCAGCGCTGCAGCCTCATCCCAACACTGGCAGCCTTCCGGCAAGGAGCAGCCCACTGCTAACGAACTCCACGCGCCTGCTAAGGTCTCTCTGAGTGAGTATCGGGCCAAGCACGCGGATGAACTGGCGGCGCAGAAGCGGAAGTTGGAGAACATGGAGGCAAGTGTGAAACAGGGATACGCCACTGCCGCACAGGCCCTCATGAACCAGCAGAGGAAAGAGAAGCACCATCACCACCAGCAGCCCAGCTCTAGTTCCTCAGACCTGAGCAACCCCTCACCTATCGTCCTGAAGATCCCACTGGATGAGCGAGAACGCAGTTCCATAAAGACGCGCTTCCCCGTGCGGGGCCAATCAGACGGCGGGGGGCACAGCAGCGGGGGGCACAGCAGCAGTAGCAGCAGTCGTGGATCCGAGCAGGACATTAAAGTGCGGATTCGGGTTCCAGAAAGGCGAAGTGGGTCCGGAGAAGACGGGAAAAGTCGCGAGAAGCACAGAGATCGGTCCAACCACCACCACCATCATCACCATCACCACCACCACTCCTCCTCTTCCACCACCGGCTCTTTATCTGCATCGTCTTCCTCATCCTCAGCACAAAAACACTCAAGTTCTGCCAGCACCTCAGGAAGTAGCAAAAAGGTCCCTGGTGACAATGTGCGAACAAGCTCTTCGTCATCGTCGTCTCGAAAAAGGACCCACTTGCCAGATCCTTCCACCGGCACCCACCCCTCGAAAGTCAGCAAATCGTCCAGAAACTCTTTTCAGTTGCCGACGCTTTCCGGAGTGCCCTCCCACGCGATGGGGCACGGGTCTGACATCCTGAGCCTCTCGCACCATCAGGGAAACTATTCGCACTCCAAGGCGGACAAAGCCGACACGAATGGCCACAATACGGGCGGCCAGTCCAACGAGTATCAGGACACATTTGACATGTTGAACTCGCTGCTCAGCGCGCAAGGGGTGCAGCCGGCGCAACCTCAGATATTTGACTATCGCTCTCAGTACGGAGAGTACCGGTATAGCAGTAGCGCTCGCGGAGGAACCCAGCCGCCACCTTTACCCTCAGAACCACCTCCACCTCTGCCACCCTTGCCCAAATAAACCCTTTCATCCCCCCTCCCCACCATTCGTCCGTCCACATACACTGATCAGATCAGTCGTCTTTGGGAGTCCGGGGTTCCTAACTTTCTGTGATGTTGAGTTTGACAGCAGAGTAATGTAAGGCAGAAAATGTACCTGTATCGTTTTTGTGCGGTTGTGTGCGAGCGAGTGTGTTCACAACACCCATCTGTGGCAATAATGTTAAAATAGAACAAAATATTGCAAAAAAAAGGCAAAAAATGTTATTTATTGAAAAAAAGATTGTACATACTATTTTTGATGTCACTCAGTTTTATATCGGCGCTAACAGAAAAACATAATGGAATTAAGGGTATGTATTACAGAATGAGAGGGACCCATTGTCCTCTTTAAAAAGTGTAACCTTGAATGCAAAAAGGAAAATGTTTTTGGTTTATGTATGGATTTAAGTCTTGCTAACAATATATGTGTCTTTTTTATTGATTATGGTATTTATTATTAGCCTTTTAAAACCATAGTTATTAGCAGTCGTTGCTTGAATGCATCAGGTGATATCTGGATTTTATTTTTATACTGTTGTAACCTGCTTCCCAGTCTGTATTTACTTGATCGATACGTCATGTATGTTTTGAGAATGAACATACGAATCCCCAATATTTGCATCACAATGTATGTTTCTAATATACGAGTAGTAACTGAAGTAACATTTTGATTTTGTTTGGTAAGTATTTGTGGTCTTTTTTTTGTTTGTAACTTTCAGCTTTGTATTCTGTAAATGACTGAAAATTGACAAATTATTTTTACAAGTTTTTTTCCCCAAAAAAACAAGGATATGCCTAATTTGGGAAAGTATGTCTGGTAAACCTACAATTCAGAGGCAGATGCAGTCATTGTTTTAAATGGTTGTAGAATATCATGCTCATTTATAATACACTATACACAACAGTATGTCCAGCTTGTACTTGTTTCATCTTTTACTTCTGTTTGTTAATAACACAAACCCAAACGGTGTTAGATACAGGCTATTTGTCATACTATGATGTAACTGACTTCCAGTGAATGAGTGAATATGAATCTGTGATGGACAAAAGTACAATCTGATAAAAACATATATCTTTCGACCAATTTTCAGTTGAACTAATGTTTTTTTTTTATGCTTCTTTGGTTGAAACAATGATAGCGGGCCATGCAAATATTGGTTAACTAACAAATTGCTGAAATTCATTCTGTCTGCATCTATGAATGAGTCATATTGAACTGGTGGTACTTTTGTCCATCATACCCCTTTTCACATCATATTAAAGAGATAGTTTTCTATCATCATTTACTCAGCCAAAACTACGATTTTCTTCTGTAGAACCCAAAAGAAGATATTTTGTCTGTATAAAGTCAATAGGGTCCACTGTTTTTTTTTTTTTTTCAAAACCTCTTCATTTTTGGATGAACTATCTCTTTGAATATGGCGTCCATTTTATGGTCTATTTATATCTGTCTCAGTTTAAACACTCAAATCAGCACTTATAGATTGAATGGCGAGCATGCTGACCGCTCATGTTTATTTGTTGCATTACCTCCATTTTTGTTTAACATTAAGGTGCTTTTACGCCATGTTGTAATTACCGTAATTACGAGATTTCAGCTCAAAATTACAGCCTAGATGGGAATTTTCTGAGAGCTCTTACTTGTACCACGTGACTGCTGTACCACCTTTAGGCATTAATACTTTTGCCATAGACATGCATAATTCCCAGTCCGAGGACGTGAACAGCTCTGAATAGAACGTCACGTGTTGTCATGTCGAGACTACGGTAATTACGACACAGCGTGAAAGCTGCATTATAACCGTATCAAGGTCATTTTGGTGTTTTCGAGTGATAAACCATCCAATCCTGATTCATGAAATCTTGCATGAATGATACAGTGCACATTAAAACTGATAGGGATTTAAATGTTTTGAGCCAATCGTTTTGTACCTTTAACAATATTGTCCCCATATTCATATCTTGCTTGATCATGTTTTTGTATCCAGTTAATAGCACAATAATGCAGATTACTATATGGATCAGTCTCTGTAACTTTCCTCCTCTGATTAAATGGCATGACTTTCATTGATCAATTTACACACAAAAAAAATGGAAGCATGAAATTGAGTTTCTACTGTCAGAGTAAATTTTACTTTAATAAATGTTGCGTTCTTTTCTTAAGATGTTAGCAGGGATTCCTCCATACTTTGACCCTTTTCCTGACTGTGCCTGTTGATGATGAGGAACATTTCATGAATATTGTGAAATTAAATGTAACACTATAAGCTATAAAAGATCTGTCACAGTTTTGGCATATATTCCTTATATGATGCACTCCTCATGTCCTGTCCCTGTTTTATCGTTTCTAAGTAGAATTTGAAGGTTTAACATGTTTTAGTTTTGTGTTTGCTGGTGTCTAGTCTGCTTCAGTAAGACTAAAGAGAAGGCGTTTTGTGGGTCTAATGCAATTCATGTCACCACTGTATTTTCTATGTACCTCCATTTTCAAGAATATAGCGTTTTATCAAATGTATATACTGTTTTCTGTGTTTTAGTGGTACCACATGAACTCTCAGGTTTTGAATTGAATTGTTGGGGGTGTTTCTTGTCAGAAGTTAAGGTTTGCATTTTTGTGAACTCGGTTCCTTTTTATAAATGTGGTTGATGTACAATAATGTTTTATGAGAAACATACTTGTGGGTGTTTTTCTTACCGATTGCAGTGTAAATTGTTATAATGTGACGGACGTTCTACTCAAGCTTCTTGCCGTAAATTCACTTTTCCGATTTTTATACGACAACTTGACCAGTTTTGCTTCCACCTGATGTCAACAACACCTTTATGGTTTGCCTTTGAATTCAGTGCTGGAATAAAGAGATAAACCAGGAATGTTAAATGTGGCTATTTAGGACACAATTTTGAAAATCTCAAACCATTCTGAAAAGCTGAAAATCTGGGTTAACCAAGAAGTCACAAGAGCTGTTGTAATCCTGATTAACTTTCCATTCCAGGCATTGTTGTCTAGCCGTAATGTGTAACTTATTGTTTTATTGACGCCTTATTGAACATTATTTGAATTAGTGGCATAATTCAGATGATATATTTCACCCCAAGATCAAAAGAAACATTTTACATTTATATTATAATGTACCACTAAGACTTTTTTGTTGTTGCATATTGTAGTTATTTTTGTCAATTAAGTGCATTTTCCCCATCCTTTTTAGTGCAATGCAAAAACATGTGATCCAAGTATTTCACTGAAATATATAGTGCTAAATTGCACCCGTTAACCTCTGTGCATTAGTATTCACAGAATGTAGATGATTCTTGCGGACTTCACAGTGCATGAGTGCCCAGACCTGAACAGACTCTATTGTTCTTGGAGTCAGCCCTCCTTGATCTCGCATGACTCTGATACTGTACCAGCCGCCTACAGCAGGTTTGACACAATTTCCCCTTCATTTGCATTTAGCATTGTTTCTCATACACATCTCAAAATGAACACTTGCAAGCTTATCTTACCAAAACTCATTCTATTGCATTTGTAAGGATATGTAAAAAAAAAAAAATTCAGATAAAAAAACCGTAAGATGCTTATGGCCACTGACCCAATTAAGAAAGAAAGCCTTTAAAAGCGTCAGATTTCCAGCCACATGCAGTGCTCCACTGATATCACATGTAAGCATTCTCCAGCTTCGTTCCTCATTAAAAGAAGCTCAGCTTGGAAAAGAGCTTGTAATCTCAATGTGACTCTTAAAAAAAATAAGCCTCAATATGTCAAATAAAGTATTTTACATTCTAAAACAAAAAGGTTGTTCAGTGGTTATTTGCAGTGCTTATATATTTTAATATATATATATATATATATATATACATATATATATATATATATTTATATATATATATATATTAGGGCTGTCAAATTATTAATCGTGATTAATCACATCCAAAATAAAAGTTTTTGTTTACATAATATATGTGGGTGCACTGTTTATAATTATTTTATATATATAAATACACACACATGCTTGTATATATTTAAGAAATATTTTCATGTATATACTGTATATAGATTTATATATAATTTATATTATATATAAATATAAATATTTTATATATAAATAATATTTTTTTTCTTAAATATACATGCATGTGTGTGTATTTATATATATACAAAATAATTATACACAGTGCACCCACATATATTATGTAAACACAAACTTTTATTTTGGATGTGATTAATCGTGATTAATCATTTGACAGCCCTAATATATATATATATATATATATATATATATATATTAAATCTATGGTAAGTAGATGTTATTGATGTTTTCTTACAAGTCCTTCAAATCTATATTTTGGTTTTTGGTTTCCCTTTATATTTTTTATAATAAATTACTTTAGGTTCAAAGTGGAACCTTTAAGTGCACATGCGTGACTGATCAGCATAATTCATAAATTAGTTTAATCAATTAGTGCAAGTAAAATTTAATAGTATTGTAATCTGATAACTCTCATCGCACAGCATCACTAGGAGATATTGCACATTTGTCTGTGTGTCGTATCAGCATCCCCGACACCTAGAAGCTTAGAGCTGAGGACAAGACACTCAAAGAAGCCCGGAGATGACTACACCTTTGATTGAAAGTGTGATTATTATACTTTAATAGTGAATTTTTATTTGCCTAGACACTTTAGTTTATTATAAAAAGAAAAGTAACCAATTAAAAGAAATTTAATTGATTACAAAAACTGCCCATCGAGGCTTTGATTTTTATTGTTTAAGACTTGAGCAAAAGCAAACCACAGTCTTCTGTGTCTTCTAAATCTTCTGTGTCTTCAGTCTTCTAAATTGTAAGCATTTGTAATGCTCATAATTTCGGCCAGACTTGAATTACTTTACCTAACCTGAGAACAAATAATAAGGTTAAAGGTTAAAGCCTACACACTGTGAAACTGTGGGTGTGGTCTTAAGTTATGGGAGGGGCTATTCAGCCACAGTCACAGATGTGTGTCTATATAAAGAGCGATGCTTCTGAAGCCGAAAGTCATTAAGGTGCCAACAACAAAGTGACACAATGAAGCTACTTTCAAGAATACTGATAGTGACCTGTTTGTCTGTGGCTTTAACAAGTAAGTAAAGATTATTCCAATATTATTTATATTAATTGTGTGTTTTATTAATTGGACGCAGCACCATGTTCTTTATATCGTACTTGGAATTGTGTTTACCAGCATTTATATTTAGTGGAGAGTTTTTTATAACTGCATTGAAAAGAACACTGGTTATCAGGAAAGTCGAAAGAAAATGGTTAACTTAATAGTTAACTATTTCAATTAATGTTGCTGGAGGGTATTATTTTGTCTGGACAGTTAAAACCTTCCCTACTACAATTCCTAAACCTTACGGGTAAATTTACTGTAATGCTGCAAGACAATGTCCTGATCTTCTTGACCCCCTTATATTCATTAAAAGTATGTTTAAATTTTTGAGTTATGCTATAGCCTATTCGCTTTGATCGGTGAGCAAGCCTGTCCTTTATGCAGTAAAAGCAAAAGTATGGTCACATGTACAGCTGACCATCACATGCACAGGATTTGGGGTCCCACTGCAGAAAGTGTGCTAAATATTTTATCTGGTCACATGCCCTGACTCTCATTCTCTTAACCAATTGTAGACTTTGGTTAAGAGTCAGGCAGTCATTTAGAGTTTAAGGGCTTTCAAAGCCTTTTCTCTCAAATCATTTTCAGTTTCCACCAAATAATCTCATTGCCGTTTGCCAACTTTTCATTTCTGTATAAGGACAAGTTGACAGAACAAGCAACTCGAAACCCAGATTCAATCAATATCAGACATGGAATACAAAACAGTTCCCAGTGTGGAAAGATGGAGACCCACTCAACAAAAACAGCTGGACAGGTAATAAAATTCAGTCAAGAAATATATTTTCTAAATCATTAAATCACACTTAAATCAACATGTTAAAAAAATTTGTTTCATTAGTGTTCTGTAGCTCAAATGGTAGAACAAAGTCATGGGTTAGATTCGCATGAATTGATAAAAACTTATATCTTGAATGCAATGCAAGGTGATTTACACTCTTAAAAATCAAGCGAAGCGTCAGTTCTGGCAGGTCACGTTAGTCAAGCTCGCATCAGCTGACACTCGGCTGATCCACGTCTATGGAATACAACGCCTATCACTGTATTCGCTCCTACAGTATTATCAACAGCTATTGCGTTTCTCAGCAGCCAATTCCCTCCTCCATTCCCACTTCCCAGCTCCTCCTCTCATCAGTCAGATTTGCCATTCTGATTCCCCCTGAATCAGACTAAAATTCTCTAATCATGTTGTACATTAAAATTAATTAATGATATCTGCAATACATGTTGGTTCTGTTTACCCTAAGGAGGGTTATTGCTGCTCTCCTTGCTGTTATGCTAGGCTGCATTGATGCGCAGGGACTTCTTGCCCAGAACAGAACCATACCACCAATCCAAACTGTATGCTAACTGTCAATCGTATTTGACGATAGTGGTCCTGACAGAAATAAAGGTTCTTTATTGGCATCTTTGGTTCCATGAAGAACCTTTAACATCCATGGAACCTTTCCATTCCACAAAAGGTTCTTTATAGTGCAAATCAGTTCTTTAGATTATTAAAAATACTCTTCACACTAAAAGGTTTGAGGAACCTAAAATGGTTCTTCTATGGCATCGCTGTGAAACCCCCCTTTGTCAAATGCATAAATGTACATTTCTACAGGTGGACAATTGAAGTTTGAAGTGGGAAATGATGCACCCACCTTGACCGGTGCCAAAATCACCTTCACCATTGACATTGTGTTCCCTCACAACCAGAAGGTCCTGCCAGATGGACAAGTTGTTTGGGCAAAAAACGGCACTTTCAACGGTATATTTCTATGATCTTTATCTCACCCTATTTACAAAGATGAAAATGTATATTCTGCTGCCAGTACTATGACCAACACAAGTTTAGTTGTATTAATAATAATGCACAAATATGTCAACTTTCTAATTTAGGCACACAGTTCCATGAAGGAGAGCCTGTCTATCCTGAGGAGAACTCTGTAGATGCATGGAACGCTGTGTTCCCTAATGCTCCTCTCCTTTCCAGACAGGGGGACAAGCAACCTCCCTATGTGTTTGTATGGAAAACCTGCGGTAAGGATAGAAGCACTTACTTTACTGTAATGTGCAGTTATCTCACCAACCTGACAATCTGCTATTGTGTTTGACAGGTAAATACTGGCAAGTGCGCGATGGCCCTTCCTCATCGCTGACCATCGGCACTGATGATGTTCCTCTTGGCTCTTATATGATGGATGTTGTCATCTATCACTACAGGCAAAAAGATAAATTCATCCCTATTGGACATGCATCCACACAGTTTAGTATTACAGGTAAGCATAATGTAAACAGAATCTCGATCTTTTGTTTAGTTTGGTTTTCAGATCTAATGAAACTATTTTACCCCTGTGTTTCCAGACCAGATTCCCTTTGCGGTTTCCCTGACTCAGGTAAATGACAAAGACGAAGGCGATCGGAAATTTATCCAGAACAGAGCGGTGGCCTTCAGCATCACCCTTCACGACCCCAGCCAATACCTGAGCAAATCTGATGTGACTTTTAACTGGAATTTCGGGGATGGCAGTGGCACTGTAATCTCCAGGGAGCTCACCGTCACGCACACTTATATGGCATCTGGTGCCTTCAAACCTCAAGTTGTCGTACAAGCAGCTATTCCGGATTCATCTTGTGCAACTCCACCAAACCTTCCGACTGAGGCTCATCCCACTTCCAACACCCTCACCTCTGAGAGCCTCATTGTCCCAACTGAACACATCACTACAGGTGCACAGCATTGTTCTATGTAGTGTGTGTGCACAGGTTTGGCTATACTTGTAAGGGCCAAATATCCTCACTTTTATAGTGAAATATTATGACAAACCACTAGTGAGGATATTTTACTGGTCATCAGTTAAAAAGACTTATAAATTGGTCAACACATGTTTTTATTTAAATCTAGTGTTTTGCGCGTGTTTCTGTGTGGGCAATGTTTTGAGTTAGGCAATAGAAGATATCATTAACCTGACATAAAATCAATGGAAGTCTATGCAATGTATACTAATATAATATAGTGAAATATGTAACTTATATTGTGTGTGCATGTGTGTGTGTGTGTGTGTGTGTGTGTGTGTGTGTGTGTGTGTGTGTGTGTGTGTGTGTGTGTGTGTGTGTGTGTGTGTGTGTGTGTGTGTGTCTGTGTCTGTGTGAAGAGATACTAAAATACTATGTACAGATATATAGATAAATAGTAGCCTATTTCAAACAGTAGTTTAGATAGATAGATAGATAGATAGATAGATAGATAGATAGATAGATAGATAGATAGATAGATAGATAGATAGATAGATAGATAGATAGATAGATAGATAGATAGATAGATAGATAGATAGATAGATAGATAGATAGATAGAATCGTCAAGTCGTCAGCATTCAAGTAGCCTATTTCAAACAGTAGCTTCAGCAGCTCGGACTGTCGTAGTTAGTTCACAACTAACTTGTCTAACCCTAACAATAAATTTAATTTACAATAAATATTACTAAAAGATGGTGACTTACTTTTCGCGGAATCAGTAGAACACTCAATCTCTGGGGATCACATTTCGCCTTTTCTTGGCTCGTTAGAGTCGAGACCAAATTCAGAGTCAGACTCGCTCCGACTTGAATCAGTGAGTTGTCGACTGTCTGCAATCAGATCACGCCAATTCGATAATGAATAGTTCCCTGTGATTTGTGAACAACTAAAACAGGTTCCTCGAAAAGAATCGATTTCAAGAGATTCGTGTGTTCAAATGAATTGAACATCTCGGTTTCAGAGCGATTCGATTTCTTTATTTCGAAATAACGAGGAACGAAACGATTTATAAAATGTAGTAGAGTAACAAGTAAAACATTATTCTGTAAAAGTTAAGATTTAAGAAAAAAATTGTTAGCTACTGACCACCACTGTTTATTCTGTGTGAAATACTAGCTAGAGCATAACAGAGAAAAACATCAGTGCTAATTCTGGTCAGAGTAAAACTCAAAGTATGGTACTTATTTACTTTATGCATTTATGAACAGATCATCCTTCCAGTCAGCCTTCAGCTCCCATTCTGAAATCCACAATGAAAACCATTCCACCTGCACCTACAAATGAAGTTCCAACAAGATCCAGCCTTGGGAAGGTCTTTAACCTCAGATCTGGATCTAAGATGTCCGAAACATTGAACACTGCGACAAAGACAACACGGAAGACAACTAGTGAGTTGCAGTTTTCTTTTTCTTTTTTTTTCATTCAGAGATATTTTGAATTATAGCTAGTTAATTATATTAATATAAATTAGGGCTGTCAAATGATTAATCGTGATTAATCACATCCAAAATAAAAGGTTTTTTTTACATAATATATGTGGGTGCATTGTGTATAATTATTTTATATATATAAATACACACACATGCTTGTATATATTTAAGAAATATTTTCATGTATATACTGTATATAGATTTATATATAATTTATATTATATATAAATATAAATATTTTATATATAAATTATATGTTTTCTTAAATATACATGCATGTGTGTGTATTTATATATATACAAAATAATTATACACAGTGCACCCACATATATTATGTAAAAAAAACTTTTATTTTGGATGTGATTAATCGTGATTAATCATTTGACAGCCCTAATATAAATATTAACTATAAATGATGTGAAAATATATATAAATTTACATGAGTTTGCAAAACAGCAGCTGCTGACATGGAGGCAATTTTGGAGAAAGACACAACTGACTGTGTGATTTACCGTTACGGATCCTTCGCAACAGATATTGAGATTATCGGTGAGTTTCTTTGTTTGACCACTTGTACTTTAATATGATACATTATAGACCTTCATTGAAGAATAATGTATGTTTGTATCCTCAGAGGGCATTGAGAGTGTGCAGATCGTCCAGGTGGCTGTAGCTAATGGTTTTCTGCTAACAGAGATGGAGCAGAATGCTGTTGATTTCACTGTTTCCTGCCAGGGAAGGTGAGGTCTGGCAAAGCATGAAGTTGGAACCACAAAATATAGCGTGATGGAGAATTCATGACCTTACCTGCTCTTTTTAGCCTCCCCACTGAAGTGTGCACTGTAGTGTCGGATGCAGACTGCCATATGCCAGTTACGACCATCTGCAATGCTGTGAGCCCCTCCTCAGACTGCCAACTCATCCTCCGACACTTCTTCAACGACTCTGGGATCTTCTGTATCAATGTGTCTATGACGAATGATGTCAGTCTGGCTGTCACAAATGCCAGGGTTAATATTAACATAGGTGAGTTTATTCACTGTTGAAATGTCATGCATGGTGCGCCAGAATGAGAACAGTTCTTCAAAAGGCTCATAGAGTTATTGTGCTATTGAATCATCTTGCATGTCTCTATCTCGGTGCCAAATTTAGCAGGTTCTAGGTTGACATCTGCAGGTGTCGCTGCCCTGTTCTTGGGCATCCTGACTGTTGCATCAGCATTGGGTGCAGTGGCTTTTGCATATAAGTGAGTCATTTTAACACAGAGTAATATCCACGCACTGATTTATTTAGCTGGCATGAATCATTCATGAATTATTATTAATTATTCAAACTGTTCCTTTAGGTTTCTTAAAGATTAATCAGTAATCAAATTGGTGTGAACATTAACTGGTAAAACTGGTTGGAATACAATAACTGGCCTTATTTTTCCACTTTTCTAGACGTCTTAAAGGGTATCAAAGGCTGACTGAGGTCCCTGCATGCCAATCCAACAACGCTGGCGTGAGCTCTGTACCAGCACTCTTCTGGAGCATGATGAACCAGCAGACGGTGGATCAGAAAAAAGGAGTAGTGTGAATTTTACTTTAAAACCAATGAAAATTGACCTGGAAAAGAAATGTTACGTTAGCACTATTTTGAAGTGTAAAAGCATCAACCTGTTTTTATCATTTCGTTTTTTTAATCTTTAATGTTTAAATTTGGATTTTTATACACATATTTGACCCCAAATCATTTTCTACAAAAACTTGTTTTTAATTACAGCATTTGTCTTAAATTTTGTACTTTAAACTTGAAGAGGAAACAACTGTCATTTGAGCCAACAAAGCATATTTAACAACATGTTGACCTCTGGAACCTTATCCATGCATTTTTTTTTACGCAATTGAATAAAATATCACAAAAGCTGCATTACTTTCTGGCCTCATTATCTTCGACATTGGTGTCTACAATCAATTTAATTAAGGTTTTCACTATAAGACCTTTTGATACCATGACCTGCTTTCCTTCTTTCGTGCAAGCATACCACTGCTGTAACTCATTTGCACCTCCCTAAAAACCTAGAATGGCCTTAATACCGACTGCTGAGTGACTACTAATCTACTTTTCCTTCATCTGAAGTTGTTGGAAGCCAAACAAGGTTAGTAAGCAGATTACTTGTCTTGAATGCCCAGAATGTCTTAAAACCAAAAGCCTATGTTAACCTCCACAAAAAAAGATTTTTAAAGCATTGCACATAGACAGATTTTTGATCACCATCAATTTATTCAGTCAAAATTTGGCAAGCAAATTCCACAAATAAAAGTCATACTGGCCATATAAATAAAACAACTGATCAAGAATGTGTCTCTAACATTTAGGAGTAGACTTTACACTTGATACCTCATGTATATCGTTTGTAAATTTACGGTCTACTGTTTTCAATCTTAGACATTTAGTGACCATTTTAATACTCCTCGCCCTCTTCCTCTCCTTCACCCTCAATGGAGTCGACTCCGACCTCCTCGTAATCTTTCTCCAGGGCAGCCATGTCCTCTCTGGCCTCTGAGAACTCGCCCTCCTCCATACCCTCACCCACATACCAGTGCACAAAGGCACGCTTGGCGTACATCAGATCGAACTTATGATCCAGACGAGCCCAGGCCTCAGCAATAGCCGTTGTGTTGCTCAGCATGCACACGGCCCTCTGCACTTTAGCCAGATCACCTCCTGGAACCACAGTGGGAGGCTGGTAGTTGATGCCAACCTTGAAACCAGTGGGACACCAGTCCACAAACTGGATGGTGCGCTTGGTCTTGATGGTGGCGATTGCAGCATTCACATCTTTGGGCACAACGTCACCACGGTACAGCAGGCAGCAAGCCATGTACTTGCCGTGACGTGGGTCACATTTCACCATCTGATTGGCTGGCTCGAAGCAAGCATTAGTGATCTCAGACACAGAGAGCTGCTCATGGTAAGCCTTCTCTGCGGAGATCACTGGGGCGTAGGTAGCCAGAGGGAAGTGGATACGGGGATAAGGCACCAAGTTGGTCTGAAACTCGGTGAGATCGACATTGAGGGCACCATCAAACCTGAGGGAGGCTGTGATGGAGGACACGATTTGACTGATCAGCCTGTTGAGGTTGGTGTAAGAAGGACGCTCAATGTCGAGGTTCCTACGGCAGATATCGTAAATGGCCTCATTGTCTACCATGAAGGCACAGTCAGAGTGCTCTAGGGTGGTGTGGGTGGTCAGGATGGAGTTGTAAGGCTCTACCACAGCGGTGGAGACCTGAGGAGCAGGGTAGATGGAGAACTCAAGCTTGGACTTCTTGCCATAGTCCACAGACAGACGCTCCATCAACAGAGAGGTGAAGCCAGAACCGGTTCCACCACCAAAGCTGTGGAACACCAGGAAACCCTGGAGGCCTGTGCACTGGTCAGCCTGAGAAGAAAACCTGTTGGTCAGTAACCAAACATAATATATAATTCATTTTATGTTTGTTTATTTACAACTACCTACCAGTTTGCGAATCCTGTCCAGCACCAGGTCAATGATTTCTTTTCCAATAGTGTAGTGACCACGAGCGTAGTTATTGGCTGCATCTTCCTTTCCTGTGATGAGCTGCTCAGGGTGGAACAGCTGACGGTATGTCCCAGAGCGCACCTCATCTGGACAGATAGGTCATGAGTACATGTTTAGTAAACTGAGTACTCTGACACACACAATATCACAGATAAAATGAAGTCTTATCCTCTTACCAATGACAGTTGGCTCAAGGTCTACAAACACAGCCCTGGGGACGTGCTTTCCAGCTCCAGTCTCACTGAAGAAGGTGTTGAAAGAGTCATCGCCTCCACCGATGGTCTTGTCACTGGGCATCTGTCCATCCGGCTGGATGCCATGCTCAAGACAATAGAGTTCCCAGCAGGCATTGCCAATCTGGACTCCAGCTTGACCAACGTGGATGGAGATGCACTCACGCTGTACAAGGGAATGGGGAAATCATTTTTTATAGTTTTTATAGTTAACAACAAAAAGCCCCAAATCTTTTTATAAGGTCGCTGGCTCTCAAGACATGCTCAAAGGCTCACGTTTGCTCATTCTGTTGTCATTTGAATGTGTTCAATGTTTTAGGTAAGACAATTGACATCTGACTGACATTGCATCAGAAACGCACCACCATAAATGCGCTGTAAAAACCCGCTTAAACAATATTTATCTTAAGGACAGATATACAACAAGTGAACTGGCATAGTAAAGACTTAGTAGGTTACCCATAAGGAAGAACAAAGAAAGCAGTCTGTCTTTATTCAAAGGGAATGAGGCAGCAGAATGGGAACAAGGCAGATGCCCCACCCACACAGAAAAGGCTTGCCAGACCGTGTCTGACTAGCCGTTAAAAGAGAACAATAAAAATGTTGACAGAAATCTACCTTTTCCCATTTATCGGTCATCTCAATGGTCTACGAAAAGAGTATGGATTTCAATTTTGGAAGCATTAGTTATAGTAGCTTTTTAGATGCAGAAACTTAATGGCATTTTCTCAAGGGCTGTGTCCTCTATTTGAAGGGAATTCAGAATATTCTTTGGTTAATATGTATGTTTTAATGATCAATTCTTGAATATTTATATTTGGTCAATGCTAATCTTGAATATTTGGTTGAATCGTTGCATTTCCCTAAAGACAAGCATGATAAAAACTAAGGCAGTTACCAGAAATTAAATAAAAAACAATATCAGCAAAATAATAAAATGCATGAACACATTTAATGTAAAATTTCAATGGAGACAGTATAACAATATCAGCTGTGGAATAGAACAGGAATAGAAATCCAGTCATCTGCTGCACAGGCCCAACATGAGCTTCTGCAGACAGCTGCAGTCCCCACCCAGTTTACTCCTCATGCAGATGGGAGGAGGGGTGGATGCAAATTTCAAGAAAATTATATGTTAATATCTGATGGGGGGAAAAATCAATCTATTTGTGCATTTTTGTTAAGACATCATTTAAGTCACATTTATGAATTAAAATAGCCTACATGGTGATTTAAATTATACAGCAATTGCAAAAGAATAAATATTAGATTATTATATCGTATATAATACATAATGATTGAGACAGAGATAACGCACACTGTTTTGACAATCATATTCAATGCATAGGCTACGTCAAAACAAAATCAATTCATCATGTCAGATGGTTTTGGAGATGCACCCTCAAAACAGGTGTACTACTAGCCTAAATATGATTTATAACCAAAAAGGGTTCATGCATCATGCAAATTTGATAATGTTATTTATAAAGGCATTTGACCATCAACGCGTAATTTATTCTGAAGGCACCGTTGAATGAATGGATTGATGAATGGGTGAATTTTAATCGGGATGGCGTTTGCAAAGGCATTTATAAACTAAATGTCTGTACGATTAATAACATTTTTAACTGTAGCATTCTTTACATTACAGCACTTAAGATTATTTGTAAAAATAAATCTTTGCGGGCGTCACGTCGACGCAATGTCGCGAGCTTTTCCTCCATTTTAAGGAAAGGGCGCGCGCTGAATGACAAAGAAAAGCCGCTCGAGCCGCTTTGAAGAATACCAGACGAGCATTAAATGACAAGTACATTTGGGACGAAAACCTTTGCCGCGAGTCGCGACAATGTTTGAAAGGGAAAGACAAATAATTATAGCCTACTCACCATTGTTCTGGAGGGGATGGAGCGCTGAGGAGAATATCAGAAGGCAGGCAATTTCTTTTTTTGGTGGAGTATACTGTGAGTATACTGTCCAAGATTGAGTCAGTCAGTTGAGGATGAGGGGGAGGAGTTGAATGAGCATCACGACGGAACGAGGAAGAGAGATTAAAATGTAGCAAGTGTTTTGTCCAATATAAACCAGTGCAATGCACATCAGATATTGCTTTACCGACTAGTGCATTTCTAGTTTTGATATTCATACAGGAATATGAACCTGTTAACATCATTTAGCCTTGTAGGCCTACACGTTTCCTTTCACACAAGCAAGCAAAACACAAGATTATTGTGACATGTTAAGGAAACATTACGTTTTATCATCAAAACAAAACAGAATGATAATCGTTTTAATAATCAGTGAATTTGATAGAAGAAGAAGACAATAAGATTCAGGTTTCAAAACGTCCTTAGATCTGCTGAATGAAAAATATCAGGACACATACATTTATTATCTATTCAATGTGTTATTAAACCTGTGATAAATGAAGATATGAAACCATCAGGTTTTTTGTAGCCATTCTAGATATCCTATTGTAAATTAGGCTACTGTAAAATCTAATGTAGGCCTAGACAGAAATGCCATTTACTATTTACTATATTGCATATCATAGCTTGTGATTTACGCCTGCTACAGACTGTGTATAGGCCTATATATAGCCTATATATTTCATATATATGTATTGCTATAGCCTTTATCATATTTTATCTTTAATTTAATATCACAGTGAATATTTAGAGCTGCTCCAGCAGGGCTCAACCAGTCAAGAGCAGTAGGTGACTTTCTCTGTCTTTTGTAGATTAACATTGAGAAGACAGACGGTTTATTAGGCTGCTGTCACTTTAAGAGCTGCACGTGTTCAACATACTGTTACACACGCATTATCTTTTCAACTGTTTACGTTCACTTAAGACATAACATAACCGATATGTTTCACATGGATACTTGCCTATACAGACATTTTAACATAATTTTGTGTGAATTTGTCCGTTCAAGCGCTGAGAGGCAGCTTTCTGGGATCCGGATCCGTCTTGAAAACGTCATGTGATTACTGTACCACCTTCCTGTAATAATGTAGGGGACCACTG